CATTGACCAAAGAATAGCTGCATAGTAATGTTCTTCAAAATATTGTATAAAAGATGGTGCAATAGTTCGAAACTTCTGAAGGATATTATCCATCATCACTATGAATCGAGCAGTTGGTTCTTCAAGTAATACTACCTATTAAAATAGATTTCATCTTTAAGTTTTTGATTAGAAAACCATTCGGCACAAATTACGTTGCCAAGCACGATGCATGCCATTTACATAACAAAATGTGTAAATACCAGGACCAAATACTTTATCAAATGCAGGATGGGTAGTCTTATCATCATCTGTCATAAGACAATTGACATAAAAGTTCCGGTATTACACATTTGATACTAAGGAATAAATTATACATTGTATCCTGGTCTAACTGATTTGTAATGAAAATGCGCTACAGGATAACCACTACCAAACTCATCAGGAACGATTAAATTTAATAAATAAAAATCATATTGATTTGTTTTGTGAGTAGAATCAATACATAAAATCCTGGAGCAACCTTTAATCATCATATCTTTCTGCTGTTTAGTCTGCAATCCTAATGCAAAAGACTCATTTGTAGAAGAAAGTTTATCAAGCCCTTTTGGACCGTACAATGTTGGCTTTCCTTGTGGTTTATAAATAAGTACTGGATCATATGATTCTTGCCTGAGTTTTTCAACTATTGTGGCAACTGAAAGTGAATCATCGTCAGGAAAGGAACATACTAACCGCTTTTTGTAAGTGTTTATCACTCTTCGTGTTACAAAGACATCTTTATCATATATGCCCTCCCTATTATCCCGCAGTCCACTTCCATCTCTGATCTCATCATCTCTGATGATGATGAATTTGATCCGTGGATACACCTAACTGTGCATAAGCTTTAATTTTGTTACGGCAACTCTGACTAAGTTGGTGGAACCTGCTATTTTCAAAAGACAATTCATGATTATGATTCGAATAAAATATGGCTGTGACAAGGTGCGATTCTTCACAAACTAAAATTTTTGATGGACACTTAAAGTTGGAAGGTAAAGTATCTTTTAGATTTTTTTCTACTGGAAACAGGAACTTTATTTTTATGCATTACATTAAATTGACAACAGTAATAATGAAAAGTTTTATCATTCCTACATCTACTTCCAGCAGACTTTTTATAAGAACTGAATGTCTGCTTACTATGCGATTCTAACCAGAATTGAAATTCTCCTCTCCTATTGATGAAAATGTAAGTTCTTGCATAGCCATCTCATAATCATGATATTCAGCCAAATGTTTATTACATTCATTATCAGAACAAAATATTTCCTTACAATCAGGAATAACACATGGCTTAAAATTATTAGATGTAGGATTTTTTTAATACTACAGATCTTTTTATGATGAAAAAGGTTACTGCGGCTTTTACAATCTCTTCTCACACCGGTCACAAATATATATGCCTTTGGAATACATTCAGTTGATGGTGCTTTGCAACATTTTTTATGATTGGAAAATGATTGTCTAGTGGCAGTACGACTTCATGCAAACTTCACACACTCTGGGATATTTCATTTCTACAATACCTTTACAGTTACGTTTATGATTAGATAAGGACTGTTTTAGAAGAAAAGGTTTCTTACATTTAGGGCAAATCTTAGATTTTCCATTAGAAGCACAATTTTCTTTATCATAATTACTCACGAGTTCAATTTTATTGTTATTTTCAGATTTATTTGGACTCTTAGCACCCCCAAACTTAAAGTTTGAACATTCATTATCATCTTCAAAAAGTGAAATCGATGAAATGGTTGAAAAACAGCCGACAGATCGAAGATCAACAACTGTAAGATCTGATGAGATGAAAGAAGCCGAGTCTGAAACAGGAGAACTAGAATAGGTGAGAACCTGAAAAGCAGAAGATTCAGAATTGAGCACAGAAGCAACAGAAAATTGAGGAACAGATGCAATGGCATCAACATTATTTGGACCAATGTTAACAGCACTTTCAAGAAATGGAAAATCATGAAAGCAGATGAAATGGAATTAATTACAAGCTCAGAAGCAACTGGAACAGGATACAAAGAGCCAGAAAAGTGAGAAACAGATACACTTGGATCAACAGAAAAATGAGAAACAGATGGAGTACTGGAATCTTGAGAAATTGATGCAGTAATGTCAAGAATACTCAAAACAGTGTTGGCTATAGTCTCAGGAACTGGAAAATCCGATAACAAGAAATCACTGGAATGATTATCCAAAGATGTGTTGGTAGAACTATATTTTAAAGGATCTGAATAAAGAGGTTTAGAAAGAACATCAGGAGAATCCAACAATACTGAAATACTGGGATGGTTATCCAAATCAGTCAAAACACCTGGTAATGCTAAAGCATTAGGACGACTATCCAATGTAGTGCAGACATGCGAAACCAGTTTCAAAACACTTGAATAAAGTGGTTTCCGAAGGAACACTTGAAGGAGCACACAAAACTGAAACACTAGAATCCGATAAGACTAAAGTATCAGGATGACTATCCAAAGTGCTGCAAACAGAAGAAACCCGTTTCAAAACACTTGAATAAAGAGGTTTAGAGTGAGTACTTGAAGTATCTGAGATGACAGAAGCACGAGGATAATTATCCAAAATCGTGATAGGTACAGATGGATGTTTTCCTGAAACAGTGGATAAAGCTGGAAAATCAATACTAGCAGACAGAGGGAAAAGACCTAGATATACAGAGGGAAAAGACCTAGATCTTTCCTTTGGAAGGGATTTCACATTCAAAACGCTCTTTATATCCTTTCACAAAAATTCTCCCAAGCTGTTACCTTATGGTTCAGATGCAATCCGTCTCTTGACAGACAGGCACTCCAATAGTAGTCACCAGATCTGCAAAAAGCTTATCGGCCTTTGAATGCTTCGAAAAGATTAGTGTTCATCCGAGATAATTTTCTGTAAAGCTTCTTTAAACTGTACGGGTTGAAACCATTCTGGAATAAATTTCGTTCCCGCGGGAGGATACCTGAAAAGAGAATGATCTTCGGGTTTGAGCGCTGAATAACCTTATACAGACAATCATATGCATGATAAATATCATCCAAGGCGTCACAAGAGTTATTGGTACCAACGTGAAACAAAACTAACACAAATTGATTGTCTATCAAAGTTATCTTGCGTGTCAACCTTTCCATCGTAGCACCCGGAAAACAATGAAAATGAACTTCATAATCCAGTAAATTCAGTAATAAATATTATTTTAAATATTTTATCATCGAATCTCCGATTATAGTATTTCATTTTTCGGTAATCCTAGTATCCTGCCCGGGATTTAGCGACTTTATGATTAAAAACGGGACATATACGATGAGCACTTCATTCAAAGAATATATATAGTTATATACAGTATATATTATGTATACACACATAGTATATAGTGTAAGTATATAGACGTTCTTTGATCATTTTTGGTGTTGGCAATAATTTTTAAAAATCCGCGCCAGGCTGCACCGTATACTAGGATTTACCCATTTTCATGTTGCTTAGACAAAGACATAATAAAAATATACAAATAACAAAATCAAATTAAGAATTAGCACTTGCAGAAAAACACTCACCGACGAAAATGGCGGAATAAATTTCTATTTTTACTAGATTTACGTATTTGGCGCCAGGTCCAGTTTGGCGTGAAAAAGATAACCCTCCAACCAATCACAGCAAAGTACATTTTTCCGTAAACATTTGGCGTTTGGCTGTACATAATTGTTCAAACTCCGAAGTCGTTGGTACAGTGTTGCCATTGCTCGCTTTGAAATCGTTGAGTTTTTGATCAAGAAATCATAAATGCTTTAAAAACAAATAGATAATAAAACAAATTTCAAATTCGGACTTCCAGATGCCCATATTCAGGGGTAGACGTACGTTATTCAAATTTTGATTGTCACGTTGGGAGCAACATGCATATATTTATGCAGATTTTTCTTTATTTAATATACAGGGCAATCTGGCGCTAACGCGCTTTGGGCTAATAAACCGAATTCAGGATGTTGAATGAATAAATGTGTTAAAATAAACTTTTGTATATTTTTAATAAGGTAATTTTTTATTTGAAATCGGTATGAAATTTTTAATACTTTTACATTATTAATGCTTTGAATTTCTTGACATAATGGCAACTTATTTGCCGTATCCCTTCTTGTAAACAAAAAGCGCGTGGTGGCAAGAGCACATGTTGAAATTTGAAATTTTGAACATTTGTTTGAACGTGTAATAAAATATGAGTAAGTAGAAATCTTTCGTTCTTTTACAGCGAATTTACTAGGTTTTTGACTTTTATTAGTACTAACTGTAGCATGTAATCATGAAAAAAGTTATATATCGGAAAATTAATATGCAAATATTTTTACTTCGTACTCTTTCTGTCCATCATATATTGTTAATTTTTTATCAGTTTTATTACTCTAAGCATCTAAAAGTATATATATGCTCAAGAACATTAATAATGTTATCTTTTAAGTGCACAGTGCGTGGTATCGTGGAATGTGTCCAGACAATTACAATCGAATGTATATCGAAAACAAAGGCATTATGGTACAAATTGGGAGGGTCAGTTTGGTATTGTATTCAGGAAAATGCCACTTCCTTCTGGTTATTTTGGCTAAGGATTTTGGGGTCAAACCCTTGATCACTTTGGAGGGTTAACCCATCAACGAGCCCGCCTCTGGGAACGAAATGCTTTGAAAATGGTCGCATTGTCAGAAAACAAACTCCTCCAAAAAAAAATCGCTTTCGTTTTCTAAAATCTCTCTAAGATGGCCCAGCCTAAGGAAGTATGTTTGCTTCCCCTTAGTGTGATGGATAAGCCATAAAATTGCCTCCCCGGTATTGAATGGCAAGAAGTAGTTGTTGCGTTTAGTTTCGTCTTCCTCCTCTTTCTTTGTACTAGTAGCTTGTAGACTTGTTTCTTTTAATATGTGACGGCCGAATTTTCCGAAATCTTTTTAGAATTTTAGCTTCCAAGCTTGTAAATTTTCAATTATTCGACATGTTTTATTGGGCAGTATTTTAAGAAAGATCATTATTTATTTTGTTACACAATTTTTTTTTACTATTTACTTATCTATTTTATTTAGTTTTAGTAGGCCAATTTATTTTGGGAAATTAAATTTTAATCCATTCTTTTACCGACTCAGTTTTCATCACATTATAAGTCCATATATATTTACGATGAGAGTACAATATTTATCAGGAATTTTTGGAAAATTTGGCATATGTATTTATATTTTAGCGTTGAATTTTTTCCACAAGTTGTTCGTTAACAGTCGAGCTCATCCTCGTAAACGCTTGATCTTTTCAGCGTGGAATTGGTAAGCAATAATCTTCCTAATATTTTTCGGGATTTTATAGCAATTTCTAGAATTTTGGCGGTTTTCTACAAATATTTTGGTAAGTTTAGCTATTATACAGTTGCTACTAATGTGGAATTTAAAGCCAAAAATGTATTCCTTCGTTGATTTGAGAGATCGCATTTCGAATTTAAACGGAAGTTTAAATGAATTTGATACAATCTTACCACAGACTAGAAAGAATTATTTCTCTGTGTTGGATGGATTTTTCTCACTTTTCTGCATTTGATACATTAAATGCATAAAGCAGACACTCACAAATAGAATTTAAATAAATTTATTTAAATAAATTTCTATTTTCATTTAAAATTTGTCATTATTAGCACCTCCCGCAGTTTTATGCAATCATAGGATTTTCCGAATTCTATTAGGTCGTTAACATAATTTCAAGGCCTAATAGAAAAGTGATAATATGGAAAGACTATGTCTTGAGTACCAATAGCCAAGTATTTGTAATTAAATAAAAATAAATATTGAATACCAGCCGCTTTTTTATATTATTTTTAGTCATATAACAAAAGATAAACAAGAATACTATTACATCTAAGAATTATTTAGTAAATTATTTTGCTAATGTTATATGAATGAGGAAACACGGTAAAAATGTTTTAATGATTGAATTCACACCGTTAAAAATCAAACAAACCCCAAAATTCCTTTTTCCCATAACTTCGTAAAATGTTTTGATTAAATATGATTTGAATAAGTTTTCCAATTCTGTTTTGAGTGATATAAATTAGGATATAAATATTATTAAATTAGGATATAATATTAGGATATAAATTATTATTAGTAATTAATTTTTGTATTAATCAGAATAACTTTTCTATCCGTAAAAAATGCTAATTAATTTATTGTATCTATTTAATAAATCCAGCTTGTAATGAATATTTCTTATGTCTGGTATCGTAAATGCAGTTTATAATTACCAGCATAAGTATCATAATGGATTTTATTAAAACGACGAAAACTGAATGCATGATCCTAGCATTATCAAAGTACGGCTCTTTATCCCGTTAAGTATTGCTTGGGTCGTAACCAACACGAGTTTATTTTTGAAATATTATTCCAAATAAAACAGGAAGCGTTAAACTATATGCATTTTAAACAGTTTTTACTTTTTTATATGCATAGAAATGTTAAGTAGCTTTAAATTGTACTTCACTTCTGAAACTTCTGCGGTATTATTTTTAGAACAGATCAAGGACTTTAAAGAACAAGTACATTTTAGTAATATGCAACGTTAATGATATAGTTCAAATGTTATTGAACAACTGTACGATTTGTAACTGGCACTGGAAGAAGCAAAATTTATCTACAACTTTCCCTTTCTTCTCAAATTCGTCTGATTAGCAAGGATTGAATAGATAATTGTAAACGTCTTTGCTAAAAGTAATAATAATCGGGGAAGAGTCCTTTCTACCCCTGCCTCCTGGGAAAAAAAAAAACGACTTGGAAGGGAACATGACCTCCGCAGGTTAACTGACACTAATGTCTCCAAAGACTATTTCTAGTCAATAGAGTTTTTTTTCATTGTAGAAATACTCATTATCTAGAGCTATCTTTTTTTCTAGCCATTGTAAAGCTACAGATATAGTGGGAAAAAATTCTCATTTTACATAATTTTCGGATAATTACATTTTACGTTAAATAATTTTAGATTTTGATTAACGCAATCGATGAATATGGCAGAATAATAGTTTGTTGTAAACATTGTAAATTTCAACGTTTTTTAAGTAAAGTTTTCAAGTAAACCAAACCAAAGATTATTAAATTAGTCTTATAATGTTTACTGTTTGGTTTTCAGTGTTCTGAATTTGCATTTTAAAAATAATCTTTCTTTACGCTAGTCGCTTTTAATGTTTAATGTTTACTGTAGCAACTTTGTATGTACTTAACGAAAGACTTAGAGGAATTTATAAAGAAAACTAGTTCACATGGAAAAAATCACGAAATCTTCCCTACAGCCAACGTATTGACCAGAAACCAAAACCAGGTCAAAATACTTATGATCATCTCTTTTATCCACATAGCCATTGGTAAACTTTTCAAACTTATACTTGTTCTTATTGCAGTTATAAACAGAAATGTGAACACTCAGATACTGCGCTTGTTAAAGTTAGTACAGTCTGCGGCTGATTCTATATCTGCCGAGGTGTTTTCGAAAAAAACTTGAAAGATAATAAATTATGTTACCTGCTGAGTCATCGAAATATATATTTTTGTTTATTGAAACTGAAAATTTTATAATTTTCTATAAAACTGCAATGGAATTATTGCATTGAGTAATCTTCAGTGTGATGTAATTAGTGTCCTAAATATAAAAGTATGTAAAAATCAAATTGGAAATTACAGCAAATCAGTCCCTAGAAATATGCTATGCCTGTATTAATCTAGTAGCAATCAATTATTCATGAACATTATAGTATGCATGCCATATATAACAATTTGTCAGCAGTACAGGAAACAATTTCGATATGCGTGCCTTTTCTTTTAACATAGTTTTTCTCTCGTTACTTTTAAGATAAACATATAACTTGAAATAGTTTTTCTTCCTCCAGCTTTCACTTATTTATTTCTTAAAATATCTCCACTAAAATCAGAGTGATATTATCAACGATTTTTCTTTATTATATAAATATAAAATTTATCCTTTATTATATAAATAATTGAAATGCTTAAATTTGACATTCTAATAAATATTTTATAGTAACTCTCTGAAAAATTTAACTTCTTTTAAAATGTATGAAAATGAATTAAATCGTGTATTTTTTCCAGTCTTAATGATAATAAAATTTTAGAATCATCAGTTATATATCCGTATTGATTATGAGAAATTATCTCATTCTTCTTTGAGCTGGAAATTGCTCAATGGAGCTTCTTCCAGCTAGAATTTGAACTCGGGGTGTAAGTGATAGTAGATCGGACTATCAGTCGGAATGCCTGTGGTTCGTATTCCGCTGATAGGATAACGGATTTTTCGTGTTTTTTTTTTTTTTTTTTTTCCTCATAAAAACGCTATGTCTCTTCAATGGCACCCCAACGAAAACATGTCAGACGATAATTCGTTAACACATGAATTATTCCGACAGTGCCTCGTGCTTCTTCTCTCTCGCCCTTTAAATGAAAACAAATAATAAGGAATTATGCCATTCTCACTATCTTGTTATAAATGGAAGTCCTTCCAGCTAGAATTTGGAAGACCTCCTTATTAGAAGCACAATGAGGGCACTGCTGAATTTTCGCATTTCTTGCTTCGAAAAAAATCCAATGTCTCTGCATGGTATCTTTCTGTTTGTGCAGCATTCAAAATTATTCCGCTTTCGCAAATTTTTTCAAATTTACTTTTTCTTGTATCGTTTTTCCATTTGTCGTATATTGATAGGTGAAACAATGCAGATTTCTGTCTATTTTCTTAAGTTTTCGTATCGGCAGGAAAAATATACTGTCGCATTTAAAATTGGTTTTAATGCTGAAAATGATTTGATTGTTTGGTTCTATTTTTCCTTTTTCTTCCTTTAAAGATTTATTTTTCTTCCATATACTTATTTATTTATTACATTTTAATCTAATAGTCTCCCAAAAACTAAAGCGATAAAAAAGTTCTTTGATTCCAAGATAAAAGAAACTTTCATTATGCTTTGAATTTCTTCAGCAATCTTTCACCAGTAGGATTTATTTTCTTCTTTCACCTACTGATACTATGTGATTCTATATCTGTAATATATCTGATTATGTATGTGTGTGAGTGTGTCTAATGGTTTAATTGATATATATATGTCATCAATGATATATATATATATATATGCATTCATATTTTAGCATGTGTATATATTAGAATGCACACACACACATATATATATATTGCATTTTAT